ATGTACAGTATTTTCCTTCAACACGTGATTAATTTATTATAACACCTGTTGATCTTCAACATAAAAAGGACACATAAAGTAGTAGAACACAATTGATAAAGGACACTTCAGATTTGAACTGAAGATGTGAGGTTGTTGTTATATTCCCTCTCCTGACAAGCGAAATTTTACAAGAAAATGTGTAGGGAGGATCATGGACCCCTAGAGTACATTTTAATGTGTCTGGTACTGGTTAGCCTTGTTGTCCTGACAGTGTGACCTTATGTGACCTTAACGTTGTTGTAGTTGTCTGCTAATTTTATCTATGGCATTTATATAAATAATCCTTTTCTGAAATGATAAACCTTTTTAATCAAACCAATGTCACAACAAATTAAAATTAATGTGTAAATACGTTTTTGTACTGGGAATAGAAACTAAATGTGGACCAGCATTTTACGGAACTGACAAACATGCTGGTATGTTGTAAAGATAAAACAAGTTTTTCATTCAAAGGTAAGGGAAAAAAAACGTTAGCTGACGGTTTTCAAATTCAGATGGTTTTTATATTCGTATAGGTATACATGAAATCAACACAATATTATTTACAACAATAATCTTCCAAGTTCCATTCACTTATTTGCGTCAAATTCTTCCAAACTGATCATGTCGTCGATATTTTTGTCTTTGTTCCGTAAATTCATCATGGATGTCTTTAGTTCTTGTGTTCCTGTTCAGGTTCATTGCAGCACGAATGTATTCATCTATGGGCAGCTATTCATTTGTGTTATTATATGGTAATAGTAGACACCCAGCATCTATCACCGACATAAAAGCGATGGCGGTGTGTTGCTGCAGACTTTTGATAAAAAAACATTGCATTCAGTAAGCTTCTTAAAAAGAAAAAAATGCATATAACCGTCACTGAATCTCTACACAATAATTGAAATATTTCCTTTATTAAAATATGCTTAAAGTTTATTGTCAGTTAAGTTTGGAAATATAAGGTGCGCAAACGTATTCAATTCATCAACTACACGTACCCGAGGGATGGTGTAAAGTCTTGTCCTTTGCATTCACTGCTTCCAGTGAGGGTCCTGGTCACTCTTTACATCTTAAAGAACATGCAGAATACACAGATGACGTTTGAGTGTATTAAATAATGTCTATGCCAAGCCCCGTCCTCGGATTTACTGTATTACCACAGTTAGTTCAAACCTCTAATAGCTGACTGACTTTTAAAACAGACAGGTTTGACCCTGCAACACACATCTCATGTAGGCCTACAGTAGTTTCCTTCGTCGCATGGGTAATATAAAACACCTATTGATCTTCAACTTTAAAAGTACAAAACATTAATTTTATGGGCAAAGCTTCATAGCTGTTCAAAATTTGGGGGCATTGTTGGCCCAATCTGTAAAGAAACTATGAGTCAGAGCGTTTGATTCTAGCCTCATTCAAGATGTTTTCAATGATGTTTGCGTCTGGTGATCGCAAGGGCAGGCCAGTCCACCCTGCTGATGCTATGTTTTTTTACGTACGGATCCCCCCTCCCCGTCACATAGCGACTATCCACACAGATGATGCAATACTTTTGTCACCCTCTGTATATTGTTTGCAACACACATTCCAACAGTTGGAATAGCTTGTTCTGATTGGCTGGTTACCCCGATAAAGGGGCCACTTACTGCTAACTGAATCATTGCATTAGATGCAACTGTCAAGGTAAGGTGTTAAGGTCTTTCTAATGTGGTACATTATTTAAACTTAGAGTAAAACCTACCGTTATTTATTTCATTCTCTTAGCTCTATCATTACATCATAGTGTGTTGCCATGTTTTCTGTTATAGTTAACAGTTTTTCTTTCTGTTATAGTAAGTTGTCATGTTGTCATTTTATAGTGTGTTGTCGTGTTGTCAGTTATATTATGCAGTGACGTTTCCTGTTATAGCATGTTGTTATATTTTCCTTTCTAGCATGTTGTCTTATTTTGTTACGTTTAACAGTAATGTTTTTTGTTATGGTATGCTGTCATGCTTTCTTGTATATTATGCGGGGATGTTTTCTGTTAGGGTATGCTGTAATGCACTGTTCTTTGCTGTTATGTTTTCTGCTACCGGCATGGAATGCGTCAAGGAAAGCCCAAAGCTAGCATACATTCAAACTCTTACTTTAGGAAGTGACTTTTATATAAATGACTTTACAATATAAATACCTTTATTTTAGAAAATGTATATTGGATTCGTGACAATCCTAGTTACTGTGAGTTTGTCCGTCGTAATTGAAAGAGCGGACGCTGTGTGCTGCTATCCGGTTGTGTCTGATTATTGCGGGGACTGTAGTTTTGTAAGTTGTATTTATAAAAAGACTGCTAATGGTTAGGGGAAGCACAGTTACACTTGAGTTAACATAAACACAAAACACCTTTTCTACCTAGAAAATCCTCAAAACATAATCGGGGAAACAACACTTTGTCTTTGGAAATCAGAGACCAGGAAGTAAAGGACATTGATCTTTATTTTAAGTCAACGTATAAAATAACATTAAAAACAAATTGCCCATTAACACTAGGAATAAACTGTTATGGTAATTGGAAGTGAGAATTATTTCTTGAATTTTCAAGTAGTTTCTTTTCAATCTATTTCCTTGGATAAGAGAATGCTGGGTTAAGAATTTCTCCTTTAACTTCAGACATGGTATCATTGTGGAGTAGGAAGCTGTGACAGACTGATGTGCAACTGTGAAGGAGGATGCAGATCTGGTTGCTCAAAAGTGACCGTTACCGGAGTTTGGTCGTAAGAAAGAAGTATTTTTTCAATTTATAATGCGTTTAATTTGTAGGTACTATAAACAGTTTATATTTGAAAATGAATATGAACCATTATGGTGTTAATTGAACAACTTCTTTGAAAGTGATGACTTGAAAAAAAGCTTAAAGTTTATTTTGCACCATAGCTTTCATATTTTTGAGGAAAAGAATGTACTCAAAAGAAATACCAAAGGCTATCGTTTCATTTTTAAGAGAAATGATATTTGAACAAATTGTTAATGCTTTCTTTAAGTGCTATAAACAGTCTCATTTGAACAAGTATGCGATATCATGGGTGTGACAGTGATGACTACATGTATGTAATGTGCGCAGAGCACTACATCATTTGTGGGATTTTGTAACAACTGGAGGGATGCATAAATAGAACAATTTACGAACAAACAATTAAAGAATACTACACTACCTGTCGTGTAAGAAACTACAGGTTGTGGTTTATATGCTGTGTATGCTGTGTATATGTAACAAAAATTTCTTTTCAATGGTAGGCGCAAATGTCATTGCGAACGTGCACGCAAGAGGTCTGCGGGTGAAGAGGAGGATTACAGCATTGACCCTAGTATAGTATTCAGTAACACAGATACAGACAGGTAAGTGATGTAGGTGTGGATTACAGCCTTCACGCTAGTGTAGTATTCAGTAACACAGATACAGACAGGTAAGTGATGTAGGTGTGGATTACAGCATTGACGCTAGTGTAGTATTCAGTAACACATACAGACAGGTAAGTGATGTAGGTGTGGATTACAGCCTTGACGCTAGTGTAGTATTCAGTAACACTGATACAGACAGGTAAGTGATGTAGGTGTGGATTACAGCATTGACGCTAGTGTAGTATTCAGTAACACTAATACAGACAGGTAAGTGATGTAGGTGTGGATTACAGCCTTCACGCTAGTGTAGTATTCAGTAACACTGATACAGACAGGTAAGTGATGTAGGTGTGGATTACAGCATTGACGCTAGTGTAGTATTCAGTAACACTGATACAGACAGGTAAGTGATGTAGGTGTAGTTTACAGAATTGACGCTAGTGTAGTATTCAGTAACACTGATACAGACAGGTAAGTAATGTAGCAAAATTGTAATAAAGCAGGCGTGTAACAGTATAGTCCTATACAATCAAGGGTCTCTACACATACCATTGCAGAAGGTCACACAGGGCTTATTTTTACTTTGGGTCGTAGAAGTTCTGGCCTCTTTCTGTTTATTTTGTTAAATTGGATTAATCGGATCAAAAGGTGTGCGACAGAAGATCAAATACACATTTAAGGCGTGTATAGTTATAGAATTAAGAGTCAAATATAAGCCGCAATGCCTCATAATTCACTAGAACTGTACAACAGATTTTGATAGCAAACTATTTTATTACAGAAATGAGCAGCTGTCCAGAGATGAGTACATTCGTGCTGCAATAAACCTGAATAGAAACACGAGATCTGAGGACATCCATGCTGAATTTACAGAGAAAGATAAAAATGGCGACGACATGATCAGTTTGGATGAATTTGACACAAAAAAGTGAACGAAATTGGCAAAAAATATTGCCGTAAATAATAATGTGTTGATTTCGTGTTTGCTTATGCAAAGATAAAACCAACTGAGTTTGAAAAGCATCAGCAAATAATTACTTTTTCCTTAAATTTGAAAGAAAAGCCTGTTTGATCTTTACAGCATACCAGTATGTCTGACAGTACCGCAAAAATGCTGGTCGACATTCCGTTTCTTTTTCCGGTGTAAAAAGTTAAGTTTTATTTGTAGTGACAGTGGTTTGACAAAAATGGTTAATCATTTCAGAGAAGGATTATAAAAATCATAGATAATATTAGCAGACACCAACATAATGTTAAGTTCACATAAGGTCACACAGGAAAATTAGACTAATTCGTACCATACACTTATGAAATACATTGGGTTTGCAATATACAGATGATGAACTGCGCCATTTCCACGTTTGAAACCTTCCAGTGAAGGACTTCTATAAACTGTTCTGTTTTTATTATCAGTGAAACAAAGTAATTTCTCCCAGGCCGTTAAATCTCAATTTCCACAATTTTATCAATAGAAAACTGATAAATAAAACCCAATATTAAAAAGTTGTTACACGTGGCACGCGTATTTCGTCATCACACACACACACACACACACACACACACACACACACATATATATTCAGGAGTAAATGATTACTAGTATATTCACAAAATTAAACATGGCTACTATGTTAACTTGTATAGAGCAGACATGCATACATGTTATATATACGTTTAAAAAAGTGAATGAGAAGTCATTTACACTGTACGGTTGCATTTTTGTATAAACATTAACTATGATAAAACTTGAACTGCACTTTGACAAAACCCATCTCAATTCGGTTTCTTCTGGACACTGAAGCAACATCATGTGAGGTGCATTTAATCAACTATATGCATGCGCAGTGCGTGCGGGGACAGAACCCCAACTCGCAGTTCAACTGGCACCATCGCGTAACGCCATCTACATTCCAATATGCACCTGCAGCTTTACAGCGCCCTCTAACGACCGTTCTAGATGGGTCGGACTCAGTGCGCAATTTCTCCTCCACGTCAGCTTCCGCGTGACCGTGAGATACTCTAGTATATGTGCTATCTCTTCCTTCTTTTATCTTTGTCCCCACATTGAGAGAATTTACACCATTGCTACCGGATGTTTCTGTCAGTACCAACCCGCCATTGCCGGTGTCGCCGCCTATTGATACGTCTGCGCAGCCGTAGAATTCCTCCTGGGGCCCACACCCAAGACATCCCTGTCCTGCTTGGCGGTCGGTGCCCCAGTTATTTCCTATGATTATAATCATATTGCTGATATTAATACGGAAAACAACAACACCACTCGCCGATCACTAATGACAACCTACATTTACTGGGAAAAAAGAAGGGATTAGGTATCGATGAGCAATTGTAAGGATTAGGAATGACATAGGGCCTATTCCCAAAGAATGTGCTTGGTCATTTGCACATTTCTATACATGGAGTAGCTTTAATTACGTTGGTACTCAAAGATACATGCTTATTTTCGCTATTTATGAAAATTTGAAGTGCTTTTTATCTTTAGTCTTAAAAAGTTAAGTGTTGCATAGTACTGATCACTACGTTTTATATTTCTCATCTACTCTCTAATCAACTCACTCACCACTGTGCCATTTCCACTGCACCACACACTGCCTGCACGTCACTTCCGGTGGTAACTGCACGCGGAGAGCCACCACTCCGAGCGTTGTGGGGATGGTGAACCTGGTGCCGTGACCCGTGATGTGCAGGAGATGCTGATTCAAACACTGCTGACTGATACGAGTTCTAGGACTGTTGTGAGGACACAGTCGGAACTCAAACCAACCTTTATGGTTAGCGGTTATTTCGACCTTCACCTCAATTTCCTTTATGAAAAAAATAATACGTATGACTCAGTGTTCAAGCTATACTGCTACATACAGTATATTGAGAATTGAAATGTCAATGTCATGCTTAAAGCAATAATAACTCTTCCTTTGAGATTCAAAAATCCGCATGAAATACATTGTAAAAAACGCATGGAAATATATTCTATTGTATTTTACCATTAAAACGGCCGTTATTGTAGGAAAACTAAAATCTGTGCTTGTCAATAGGGCTTACGATGCCTTTTTTCCGGTCGACAAGTGCATTCGTTGCTAATGACGTAATGGTGTCACGCGGATTCTCGCGTTCATTCGAGACCAAAATAACATGGCGCCAAACGCATTAGTGCAGACGCAGACGTAAGTTGCGAGTTTTTGTACAGTGCGTCGGATAACGAAAAGCCCAGAATGGCACACATTGTGGATATAAATGCATTTTTAACAAAAAGACGAATATATCTCATGAATCTTATATAGTGTTGTTGTTGTCTGCTTTTCCCGCGGTTTTAAGTAGGTCACCAGTGACTTTGCAATGTCAGAGAGAGCTCCGTCAGTTAAAATCTCTTAAGAGATTTTAACAAAAAACCGTACGTTTAGGAAAAAAACCCTGGATTAACTTTGAATGCAGGAATGGGGTCGTTGGCCATTGGTAAGTACGGGAAAATTGCCGTTTTTTCCAGGAAAATCCAATTTTTGGCCAAAACGAAGAGTTATTATGACTTTAAACTGGAATATTAAGAATGTGTCATTCTTTTTCTTACAACATTTAATTGAGCAGTAACATGAAAAACTGCCTTACAGCATTTTGATAGCTGTAAGTTCTCATTCAATAGTTTATTGGTAAACGCTCCAAATAAGGACGAGGAAAACTCTTACTTTTTCTGGTATATATTTACCTGGCCACGAGCATAGTTCCTGACTATAATTCCATTGGCGTATTTCCCGCCAGCCTCGTTTTGGTGAGGTCCCTGGTAGGGGTCGCCACATACGCCACACTTCCCTCCATGCAATCCCCATTGGTTCTAGGAAGAGACATAGGTAATTATCTTTATTGATCGCAAAAAGGTCTTCAAATACAATACTACTAATGGCCAAATCAAAAACTTGACCTGTATTTTATACAACTCTTTCAAACACAAAGCAAAGACATCACGCATGATCAAGACCGAGGCATGGGTGTTACATTTAATATTGGAAGATTTTCCCTTAAATTGTCGTTAAGAGCGGGCATGACGAAGTGTGTGAACCTTCTTTAAAGTGAAATTCGTTAGTCAGGTGAAGCTCAAATGGACATATTGTATAAACATGTTGAGAAATCTTATATAAATGTATTATTTCGTGGTAAATAATCAAAATTCTACATCTTGTGGGACATGTATTTTCATGTACTTTATGATATTCAGAGAGCGGACACAAAATCCACTAGTTTGCACTGCAGCTAGATGTGTTTGTGATCGTCAGAGCGTTGCCGTGGAGACGTTTGAATATTGGCCCGCTGTTTGTATAATTTCCATGGGTACAGGGTACATAAACTCTAGTACTTGTGAAAGTAAATAGTGATACTAATTAAGCTTTACTATACTGAGTCTTTAATTTATATGGCGCAGTTTAAGATTTTGTCGGCTCCTTATTACGGTAACATAAGCTGAATTGCAAAAATAAAGATACATTGAGAAGTACGTAATGGAAGCACGTACATAATCAGAGTGTATCAATAGTTCGAAAGTCGTACCAGTGGAGTCAATTTGATGCTGTGTATTGCAAAATGCAGGTTATTGGTAATCTGGACTAAGAAGAACGCGAATCCACACCTTTGAAAGCGCTGTGGTATAAATATGTATACAAGAAAGAGTTTATATTCATATATGGCAATAAAATCACTTCTGTTGCGTTGTTCACTTGTCGTGGAGAGTGACCATCCATCAGCTGTTGCATTGCTAACGGGACGCACAGATCGAGTTAATTAGTTCCATTGAACAGATGTGAATCAAACCGACTTGTGTTTGACATGTGTGGACCTTGTGTTTCTCAGCAATGCATTTGTGCTATTAACGTTACATGGGGAATGCGGTATGCGTACACAGTAATACAGTTTGGTATGTAGGGGTGCTGACATTGCACCTTGTAAGAACTGAATCCATGCTGTTTTTCATTAAAATTTGATAGGGAAGGAAACCTTGGCTGTGTTAAAATCATCTCGTTTGTTGAATCCAGTATTATTTAGTATTATCAGTACAGAAGTGTAGAGTACATATCCTTTGCTATAAAATATTTCCTGTACTGACAAGCGTGAAACAGAGGAAATGACGCGTGAAGCCTTTAAATGTAAGATTTGGAAATTTTTCCACTATGAAGGAAAGAAATGTTGTTTCTCCCATCTGGTGACTCAAACCCTAGAAATAAAACTGCAGTTACGGTGCTTACTGGAGTCAGCCATGCAGCTGGACTGAAATGGGTTTTGTTCCTACAGCTTTATACCTTTCATGTAATCTTAAAAGTGCCCTTAATTAACAATGCCTTATTTAAATTAGTATTAAAACTGTAAAAAAATGAACAATGAATATAGACTGCATGGTGCATGAACAACAAATTTTACAAAACCTTTCCTGCTCTTTCTCTCTCTCTCTCACTCGCACAAATACCTCCAAGTTACGGTAGGTACTTACATTAAAACCCCCGCAGTTTAGTGCGTTGTCATCGTAGTTTTTCGGTGTCGCGAAGCCAAATCTCCACATGGACGATCTAGACGGCGGTTCCAGTAATCTGGCGTGACCATCGACATCTAACACTCCTACGAGGAGGCTTACCAGTGATAGCCAACACATACCGCAGCTTAACGAAGACATCTCTCACAGCTCACAACTGCAAGAATCCTCTCCTCCAACAACCTTTAAAAGTGTTCAAACCTACTCCGCGGATCTTACAAAGAGTGTTTATCAGTTTACGTAGGTAATATCCAGGCGTCTCAGTCAGACGGGATGCGAAGGCTTCCTAGTAATTGCGGGCAGCTTTTCCGAATGCGTAAAACTGAGTCAGCAGACCCAAATACCAGAGGAAACTTCCAATTAAATTCACAAATAGGATGTTTGATTGAAATCGGATACCTGGCGTTTGAGATAAGTGAGAACTCAAATGTTTACTTTTACATTAATCTTTCAGCTCTGCATGAACAATAGTTTTACTTCATGATCACCTCGTTAACAATGGCATAAATATCAATTAAAATCTCTAAGTACGTCATTGCGGTAGTTGCGCTAAGATTGCGTGACACCTTTGCTGTCCTCTTGTTACCACGCGGAGACGAGACCAGGGGGTTTCATGAACAGCATAAAAATGCGAGCCTTGTTGGAGAATCATCAAAAGTTCAATTTTAATGACAAGTAAACAGTAATAGCTTTCGGTACATCGCGCCTTAGTGACGAAGTTATAGTGATTGAAATTAAATTTTATTGCTTTGGACGGAAAACAAAGGAGACGGTAAACGCACCGCAGGCTGGGACTATTAGATAGCCGCTGGAAAGCACAGCTTGTGGATTCCGCACAGTTAAACAATTGTGTTTATATTCGTAATAGTTCCGCGAGCTTGCGTCGTGCGTAACACAATTACATCTGAAGACAGAATTTATAGGAAATACGCATTTTCAAAGTTCTGTACAAAAAGGAAATATGAACACTTTTTATTCTTAAAGATGGTCTACTTATGTCACTGTGGGAGAAAACGTCAAAACTTTAGAGAGGTAAAAAATATATGGATCGCTTTGAGTTTCATATATTTTAAAACTGTGAAAGAAGCGAAAGCATACTAGTAGCTTCAAGAGGGATTTTAATGAGTTTGCTATGAACTTCGTGCGGCAGTTCTTACATGTTTACTTGCTCCACATGTATGTGTCAATATTGGAGATTTTCTTTTTACCTTCCATTCCATTCGTAATACACATTTTGTATTATGTGATGATACTGTGCACTTTGATCGCCCATTTTCAAACTACATGTGCATTTCATTTATAGATCATTGTTATAAAAATATAGAATTTCTAGCAAATAAATGTCTATGGACAAAACCGACGTGCGCTTGATTTCGGCTAAGTTGTCAACTTTTAACACTTTTGGGTGCTGTAAATGGCACCAATTAGCCTGCAACTTTGGTGGTCAGTGCCTTGTACTCGGTGCCGTCTCCTAAGAAGTAATCTTTCCCTGCCTCCTCAACCACTGGACTGGCCGCCAATATGGCCGAGTCGGGCACCTGTAACAGGGTGACGTAATGAGATGTATAAAGGTATAAAATCGATTTTTTGTATTTAAAGGCACCCACTTAATGACTGCAGGCTCAAAAGGTATGTGAACTGGTTAAAAAAGGAGGTGAAAAAATATTGAGGGCTAAGAGAAATGGTTTTGATGAGAAAAAAAACAGCAATTAGAAATAACCAAGAAAGAGAAAAACAAAATTACTAAAAAATAAAAGAAAAGGGAGAAAAAGAAAGTGAAAGAATCGACAAATCTGCTAACTTGAGGTTAAAGCCAGCAGGCATAATACTTGATAAACAGTGGAAGGAGTACATCTATAGACCTAATCTCACAGAGGAAGAGTTTGGAGGATACCCACCTTGTGTAGCGGGGTGTACTGTGGGTGGTGGTGAGGAGTGACGGGGTTATTACTGGCACGGTTATATGCTATCAGGTACGCCCAGCGCCGCCTAGCGCTGTTATTCTGGTCGCTTTGGTGAAGCACGTTACTATGGAAGAACAGCGCGTCTCCTGGGTTCATCTCCACGTGGACCACTGGAAGAACCTACGCCACAGACATAGTAAGTTGTATTTAACCTGACCGCTGACTTTTGCATGCCTCGACAGTGTCATCCATAAGTTCACACCAGAGTACTTTATGCAATAGAAGACCAAGGCAATCGTTACAGTAGATCTATTTATATTTCCATCTTTAAAAAGCGTTCTTGGGCGAGCTTTGCATGCAGTCTAGAGTAATTGCAACTCAAAGTGCTACATACATATATGTCAATGTGAACGGTGTTGGATTACCAAATAACGTGCGCAGGAATGACATGCCACTAGCTCATTTATATTCTGAGAAATGCTGACCTGTGCTGCCTTACCTTGAGCACTTGCTCAACACGCTCAAGGTCCGCGCCAACTTCCTCTCCAGTGGTCACGTGGGCAATTCGGCCCATCTTGTGCGACCGTGGCACCACCTGCAGGCAGCCGTTTTCTTTATCTGTGCGATCCAAGGCAATGAAGACAGTCCCCATGTCTGGGAACAGGCAACCGTTGTAATACCAGTACCTGGTGAAACACATATTTGATAAACATACTTCATAAGTAGTACAATGCCCAGTTCCTCCAGGGAAATATAATAACACAATGAAATTGACGTGGGGTATTAAACAGATGACGGAAAATGGATGAGGTTACCCAGTACCACGCTAGTTACCACTGTTTGCCAAAATAGGCCTTTACACTCACCCGTAATCTTGATGCCAGTTAAATCTGCCCCCTGTGTACGGATCTTTCATTGTAAGCTTGGTATGATAGTGATACACCTCGCCATCAAGTAACTAGGTAAGGTGACAAACAGACAGACTAAAGCTATTCTCACAAACAGACAATAATATGGAATCTAGACAAAAAACTGGACATTAAAAACTTGAAATGAATTCCAGTGCATATAATACACGCCACTGTGATTTTGAGGGGAAATATTCCATTAACGGAATACCGGAAAAACGAGACACCAAATGAAACAGTATGACAACCTGTTCAAATGTTCCCGCCACTTTCTCGCTCCTAGCAACCATTCCTGTGATGTCATTTCCGGGTTGGTTCCAGGCGTAATACTTGGACTTCCGCCCATGACCGTCATCCCGACCAAACGAGTATTTTGCCACTCCAGCGTCGTTTTCAAACGCGGTTAATATTTTCCCCATTTCTTGTTCATCCAGAAGACCTCTGCAAATGAATGCAATTTGCAACACGTTTTAGGAAATTATGATCTTGTATGAATTTTGACGAACAGAACTGTATTATTAATGGGTAACTCCCCGGTATGCCTAATATTAAATCAATATCATATGGTCACGTCAATACCTTTATTCTAGCAGGTACATTAACTTTACTGCTATATGTAAGCTGAAGAGAGAATGAGAGAAACGGAAAGGGGGGAGGAAAACTGTACCGTATATGTACGAAGGGGCAGAGAGAGAGAAAAAAAAATTACCTCACCAAAAGATAGCCTTCGTCTTTAAAACATTGTTTCATGTCGTCGGTCACTTTAAACTGTCTAGATGCTTGGAACTCTACACGGGAAATAGAAAGAAAAAATGAAAATAAGTCATGTGTTAACAAAATGACTTTTTGAATCATTGGACAAGATATACGGAAAGAAAAGCTTAAGTTATGACCTCTGAAGCAGACGTGTCATGGTAGAATGTAATTGAGGATTCTTAAGTATTGAAATTATTTCTCAGAGACCAGAAAAAAGAGTGCACGTGGTGACCAACTGCCACCCTTCACCGACCACGGTGATAACACAGTCTTGTTAGACGTCACAATTTGCAGTCGTTCTTTTATACGTTAGTTTAAACATTGCCTAGATCATTTATACAGCACAGGTAATCATGCACGTCTGTACGACAGCAAACACAACATCGGTTAAATAAGGTCATTTTTATGCTGTGCATGTTAGTATCGTCAGTTCAATATCACGGGTGTGCTAATGACTTTAATAAAGGACATAAACCTACCCTTAAGAGTCGACGCCATTGTCTCTCCAAATCTTATTCGCCCTAACCTACGTCCAGCGCTATAAGCGGCTGTGCGTTCTCCTTAGATAAAGCCGTGTATTACAGAGATCCAACTTTAAATGGGCCAGCACAAAACTTATCGCTGGTAGCTTGACCTTGACACTTCGGGACAATCTCAACTATGGGTAAAATAAACACACCGATATAACCATTTTACGACAAATTAGCGGAGTACAAGTTCAAGTTTTTCAATTAAGCGAAAATAACAAGAAAACACATAAATTCTAACTTGTTTATAAAACACGTCCAGCGTGTGTATTTAGGTTTTCAAATTTCGGTTAAATGAAACAGTTAATCTTTTAGTCTTTCATATTCCACTTACTTTCTTTTTCCATAGGTATTAGCTGTCTATATCATTTATTTCAAACCCCCCATCACCATGTTTGTACAGGATCAAACGGAAAAGCGAGCACAGTCAAAACTAAAAACGGATGGAACTAGTTTATTAAGAGTACATACATCACATTGTTTAATTATTTAAGCAATTATGTCAATCGAATCTTTTTGACTGGTGTAGATTCTGAAATCTGCGACTGAATGTTTTTTATTATTTGCTGAGATTCCAGTATGGAACTGTCTCCAACTTCAAACACCTGTCTCCGTATGTCCAGCGCCCTCTGGTGAACGTTCAAAGCCAACTGCAAGTTATCTTGCTTTTGGTGCACATCACCGAGGAGAAACAGAGTGTCAGCCAATGTAGCGTCTGGCTTCTTCTGGTAAATGTTTTCACATATGCCAAGTGCCTTTTGAAGTACCTCCTCAGCGTCTTCCAGACACCCCAAGCTTTGTTGTATGGATGAGATTTCATGTAGAGACTTTACGCTGTCTAAACTTTCACCAGCTCCTCGCTGCCTGATTTTGAGCGCTCTTTGGTGCATTTTAAGCGCTGTAGATAGATCCCCTTTATGTTTTAATGTATCGGCCAGTCCAAACAAAGTGGTGCCCATGTCACCATCTAACTTGCCATCGCCGTTTGCTTTCTCCACCCGTTCCCAAATAGCCAAAGCCTCAAAGTACATGTCCAGCGACCTGTCCAGGTCCCCACGGTGAGCCAATATACTGGCCATCTCAGTCAGCGTTTTGGCTGTCGTGGTGTGGTCACCAAGGACCGCCTCGCGAATTTTGAAAGATTTTTCATAAAGAGCCAGGGCCTCCTCGTCTCTCTCCAACTGCCGTAACACCCGTGCTGTATTGTAAAGTGTTATCGCCATTTCGGAGTGCGTGCTTCCGTACAGGGTCTCCCCCATGGATAATGACATTTTATAGAAAGCCAAGGCCTCTTGTGGATGCTTGCATTTCTCCACAGAAAAGGCAATATTGTTTAGAATGACACTGGCTTCCGATGCCGTTTCCGGGAAGATTTGTGGCAGTTTCCTGATAGCGTCTTGTATTTGTTGAAGATCTTCATTGCTTCTGGTCAGCTCTAACTGTCTGGCATGAAGCAGAACCTCAAACTGTCTGCGCCGCCTCGTGTCACCCTGGGTGTCACATATACGAATTGCCTTCTCTACAGCTCCACATGCGGCCGCCAAATCTTTCCTGAGGTAGTGCGTGCTGTCCAGCTCAAAACAACAACTGACAGCATCTGCTTCACAGCCAGGAATGTTTTCATACAGAGCTAACGCCTTCGTGTTGTGAAGATGTGCGGCCTCTATATCAACCTCATAGGCTTTAACGTAAGCCAGTCTGAAATGGAGGTCTGCCAGCGGGCGTGGGTCGTCCTGGTAGGCGGAAAATAAATCTTCACAATACCCCAAAGAAGGAAAATAACCCATTACAAACAGTGGACGTGAGAGAAGATAGAGAACATGGCGGGCGGTTGCCTTACTGGAGTCTGTCAAACTTTTAAACAGGCGTGCTCCCTCCGTGAGATTCACAGCATGGTTGTTGTAGAAGAGTCGTGCGTCTTGAATGTTGTTTTCGTCACACATGGCTAATAGTTTCTTCACAGTGGACTCGAGAGACAGGATAAACTGACACCGCGCCTCGTCATGGTCGCCTTCAGAAACGAGCATTTGTAACCCATACGCACGTATGATTGCATGGAGGGAATAACATTTCTCACTGGAATCAAAATTCAAGAGAGAGCGTTTGCAGAGATTCTGTAACAGATCCAAAACCTCCAAGTCATCTGATTGGAAAAGGAGCTGTGCGTCTTCCAGAGTAAACGAGCCAGGGAAAAGTGACAGAAACCGAAAACCTTGCTTCTCAGGGTTGTCCAGGCGATCATAAGACATGTCAATACACGCCTGGACGCTGGAGTAAGTAGAAGATCGGACTTTCAGATATTTTTCAATCGTGGTTCCAAGTCTGTCAATCAAGACGGATGGCTTCATGCCATGTGACAGAAGACCCCCCACTACGTGAAGCATGAGCGGCATGTGACCACATTTGTTAGCCAGTGTGACAGCGTCCGTGCTGTTCATCTCGGTACAGTATGTGTTCAGGAGTGACACCGAGGCATCTTCTGACAGTTCTACCAGCTGCTGTGTGTGCAATGTGGCGTTCCTCGGGGTCAGAGCCTCGCGCGTGGTGCAAAGTATGGCGGTGTTAGGGCACCTCTGATGTAGCGTCTCCAGTATTTTAAGGAATCCCTCCTCTATTGTCTTGTCACATAGAGCGCTCTCACAGGCATCAAATATAACACAGACAGGATCGTGTGTGGAGTTTAACCTTTGAACCAAGTCACACAGCAGTAGCCGTAGTGTCCGCCCCGAGGAAATGAGCTGAAGTTTGAGAATGGACCCCAGGGACAATACGACATCTTCGGCGCTTGCTATGTTATCCAGGTTTAGCATAATGACAAGAGCACCGTAGTTCTCCATAAACCTGTGACCTGCTGCCAGCGCTATGGTAGTTTTACCAAACCCGCCTGCTCCCTGGACGACATACAGAATCCTGCCATCACCGGTGAAGGACGAGACGATTTGGTTGACCTCGGTCTCGCGGCCCACAAAATATTCTGGGATATCTGGAAGGCAGGACTTCTGTCGCAGTTCTCCTGAAATGACAATTTTACAGGTAAAATACCGTGATAAGTAGTCTGATAAGTGGGGTTAGGATCAAGGTTAAAACATTGTGATAACAACACGCATTGCACTTTTAACTTCTTAATCAGTTATTATGATTTCGTCCATTTTATGGCGATATCAGGTGCTGGAGTGCACGGAGTTTTTAATCCACAAAATATCATTGCACGTGAAGGAGAATCCCCATAACTTGCCATGTTGCTATAGTCTTCTTTAAATGATCTAACTGGGAAGTGCATCGTCGGGAAGCCACCAACCTTGAGATTCAACGCTAGCGCTACAGATACATTAATTGGTCATTGCTTAACACGTGTACACTTATACCGGTACGTGAATCTTCCGCTGACAAACTACGAAGAAACGTTTGAAATATTCTAGCTATGTTCACTCTTAGGTGAAATATTTCGCGTAATATTCGGGGCTGGATAAACCTTATGATATTTACTTACATGAAACAAAATCAATTTAAACACATATTGGCATGTAATGTGACACTTCCATTTATCCACCATCTCATGGTGGTTTGTGCATATATGTGAAGGTTTAATGACATGAGAACTGTTCACACTCACTGAGATAAGTACGTCTGTCCTCCTCACTGATTTGGTCAGCCTGCAAGCTGCTGGTGAGCCACGGGTAGCTCTCTGCTAGCACTGATCTAAAAGTCTCAAACCGCTGGTCATCTGATCGTATGAGAACGTTTAGTAACTCTTCATTCTGTTCCAGCGTACTTCTTTCTGCTCGTGTCTCTATGTCGGCCCGCTCATCCTGGCTAATAGCACCCTCTGTGAACAGTCTGCCGAGAAGGGGCTTGTCCCGGGCGCCGATGTTGTCACGTAACAGTGTCCAATTCCTGCGGAGAATTAATTTGTTGTTTAGGGAAAGCACCTTCATCCCATTAACTGGAAGTAAATAAAAGATAAATAAATAAATAAATAAATAACATTTATCTTATCATCTATCTATTATGCGAACAGTATGAGGCGTACTGAGAAATGAATTTTGCTCCCTTAGGTGTTAGATCCCCCAAGACGTGGCAAGAAGACGGGAGTGGTGGGGTCAGTTACGGAGGGAGGTGCTGGGAGGGAGGTGCTGGTAGGGGGCTCCTGCATAATACGAGGGCGTGGCACCCCGTGCGCTCGTACGCAGCGAGCGTACACATTCATAGTAATAAAAACAACAGTATGTTTAAAGGGATAATAACTCTTTGTGTGAGGTCTATATTTCACAATAAAAACATTGTGAATAACTCATAGAAGTATAATATATTCTGTTTTACGACAAAAACAGCAGTAATAGCTATTATTCTGATATCTGAGCTTGTCTTCAGACCACGTGACCTCCATTCATGGCTACACTCTGTTATAATCTCTTAAGAGATTTTAACAAAAAACCAAACTTTTTAGAAAAAAAAACCAGGGACTAACTTTGAATGTAAAATGGAATCATTAACCATTGGTAAGTATGGGGAAA